GCTCCGTTAAGATTTTTATTTCATGTTAACAAAAATAAGTATTAATCCAATCAATGGAAGTGGTCTGAGAAAAATCAGTTATGAAAGTGGCAAATTGCTGACAGTTTCTTTATTGAAAAGTAACCATCGGCACCATATTACTATAACAAACATGTCTAAACAAATACACTGATATAGCAACCAAAGTAATTGTAATGTTTTAAGTCAAGGGTCAAGAGCCCAACTAATATAAACACTGACCTCGGTAATGGTAATTCAAACAAAACTAAAACATCTAAAGTCAGTCTGGTTAGTAATGTGTGAAGTTGGTGGATGCTGTTTGTGGAGTTGTTTAATCATCCTCTGCTGAGATCTTGAGAGATTTAATGTCTTCTTTTATTTTGTGTTGATTTCATCTAAGGCTGTGGCTGAAATCAGTTGTAGTTCTTGTATTTCTGCTTGTCTCGTCTCTTTTTTTTCTGTTCTTGTTTCTCTTTCTTTCAGTGATTCAGTTTGTTAACAGCAGGTGTTCATCAATAATACTCAATCATCACTCAATTACTATACTAATTATGTCATTAACTTTAACACTGCTAAACAATGTACAGACAGTTTGAAAAATAAAAAAAAAAAAAAGCAATAAATGATACAACATTCTGAAATGTATTCAGGAAACATTTTGTGTTTGGAAAAAAAAAAACTTTTAGTAAACATTTCAACACAAATAAATGATAATTAAACACGTTGAAAAGTTTATGTATGGAAGACATAAGATGTAGATGTTATTACTTTGTAATGTATTTTACCATGACTTTTAACTCTACTTAAAGGTGTAGTTCACCCAAAAATAAAAATTCTGCCATCATTTACTCACCCTCATGATGTTCCAGAGCTGTAGGAGTTTCTTTCTTCTGTTGAACACAAAAGAAGATGTTTTGAAGAATGTTGGGAACCAAACAGTTGACAGTATGTTTTCCCCATACTACGGAAGTCCATCAACTGTTTGGTTACAAAATAACTTATTTTGTGTTCAACAGAAGAAAGAAACTCATGCAGGTTTGAAATAACTTGAGGGAGAGTAAATGGCAGAATTTTCATTTTGGGGTGAATTATCCCTTTAACCTTCACCCTTTTCCAAGATTTCATACGAGATTTTTTCCTTGTCATTTTGGAAATCCTTGTTGACCACTGACCCATTTGACATTTTCATGCAAGAACCTATTCAAATGCATCCATACTAGCATGAACACACCTTTGTGTGCATCCATACTAGCATGAACTCACCTTTATGTCCTGTTTGACATCATAAAGTCGGTTGAGTGAGAGGACATACCCTTCCTGCCGGTCTGCGTTTATCTGCTCTAAGGTCTCCTCCGCTGCCTTCACCACAGCGGCGTCTTGGCATTCAGCTGGCATGAGGGAGGAGCTGCCGTGCTGCCAGAACACACACACCAACAACACCAAGAGCAAAGGCTGCATCCTCATCTCTGTATTTCTGAAACCCTTTTACTAGAGAGCCATCAAAGACATCACAGATGAAAAATACAGTTCAACTGTTACACAAAAGACTGAACTTTCACCTGCAGCTATCAGCAAACACAGTCTTTATCTGCTACTGCTCTATATGCTCCTGTTTGCTTGATGGTAAACAGTGATGCAATACAGGTCAAAACTACTGAACTGAAGATTTGACACACAGCAGCCCTCCTTACACCTGCCATTAACATGTGTTTCATATCCAGAATACTTTCATTACATTAGCATACGTTGACCAAAGCAGTTTGCATCATTAACAAAATTACTGATGGATATTCCACATGCTTTATGTTTTTACAAAGGAAAAATGGTATCTATTGCATTCGCCTTCTTTATGAACATTTCACCAGGATAACAAACTCAATCATAGGAAGACAGGAAATGAAAACAGGCAATTGACACAAAATACAAACTATAGAGTTCATATATACAGTTAGGACGTGACAGTACTGCTACTGTAGTTGCATTCATTTGATTAATTAATTTACTACATGAGCGACACTGATTTGTCAAGGTGCACTAAGAAAATTTTTCTGCTGTATTGATCAGTAAAATTACTTGGTGCACTTTTAAATTGACCAGAATTATTGTTTGCAATTACTTTTTAAAATGCAAACAATTTTAAGCATCGTCTTTGCCTTGTGGATCTACAATAACCAACATGAGAATCTAAAACACAAAAATGAACAATTAAGAACTATAAAATGCTAGTTAAAGCTAAATACCAGTTCTCCTTTACTCTGTGTATTTATAGTTTTGTGTTTCTGTTCCGTCTGTTATTATCTTGATGTGTGTGCTATTAACTTCTGGTTTTGAATAAATGCTAAAATTAGAGATGAGAGAAACAAAGCGTTTCGAAACTTTGAATAAACTGAACCAATTGCTTCGCAAAATGAAGTGCTTAAAACTCCACATGCTGGTGATGCCTGCTGGTCAGAACAGTGTAAATGCAACGAAAATATGCATAAAACAACCTTTATGTTTTTGTTCATTTTATGCAAAGTTTGGTTTTTCAGGCCATTAAGAGACTATTAACTACAACTCATCATTTTTATTATACAAATGTGTCATTAAAATGTCTACAGATTTATAAAACGGATTCGAGATCAGCTAAAAACCATATAGACACTGCTTCATCGGTTCACTGAGCTCGCCCCCTAGAAGCGAACCATTGAAACTTTAAAATGTTTCAAATCAGTTATGACACAACTAAGCCTTATCTATTGAAGTCACGTGACTTTGGCAGTTTCATACGCACCGAATCACTGGTTCAAAACAAATGATTCACAAAGGTTTCAAAGCTTCACAAAGCAGTGTTTCGAAAGCGCCCATCACTAGATCCTGCTATTAGATCCTCACCTCCACTACCCTCCTTCCACTGCACCGTGTCACCATCAGCAGATTACCACAAACAATCAAAAAAAAAAGGTTCTGTCCCTCAGTTTGTAAAACAAATTCTATTGCATTCATTTATAAAGTGCTTTTCAAAATATACCGAGTTCCCATGCAGCATTACAAACTGCACTGCCAATGAGCAAGCCAAAGTCTGAAGTGTTGAGGAAAAACTTCACTAGACTGGTTGTAAAGAACGCTTTAATGCATTAATGCGCACAATACATTTTTAGTTTTGTTTATAGGCATTCATTCAGTTTTGCACAACATTGTGAAAAACTGGTCTGGAACCCACATTTTTTAGTTTGGAGTTGACATGTTTTCCTGCCCTGCCTGTGCTTCGGTCTTCTGAGTTGCTACACTCCTCACCTGATGACTGTCACCAGCTGAGATTAGAAATTCATTTGAAATGCTATCTGTTCCTGACTTTACCTGTTACTGGCTATTATATTTACCTGCTGATTTGGATCTTTTGCCCTTGAGTTAACAGCAAATAAAGCTCACTTTGTACGCTCAGTTTGTACCTACACCAGTGTCCTTCTCTGTTGTTTTTGAATGAGATGAATAACGAGCACTTTTGCATAAAGCTATGACTATGCCTGCCAAATGTAATAACTACACAGGCTATTATTTGGTTTTATTATTATTATTATTATTATATTTTAAAACTTAATCACAAATAAATTTTAATCTTTTGACTATTGTACTTTTTGACTATAATGTCACGATCACCAGTCACCATGTCTGTCACCCCTGCGCACTACATCTCCCACAATCCTCCTTGGCGATCACCTGCACTCACTTCACAATTACAACACCTGTTTGCCATCCCGTTGATCTACTGCTCTACACAGGCCAGTACCACACACACTTAGGCTGCGTTTACACTGCAAGTCTTAATGCACAGATCCGATCTTTTGACCATATCCGATTTTTTGGCACGTCTGTTTGCATTCACTTTAGACATGACTGGTATCCGATATCTGTGTTTACATTAATTCCCACGGATCTCGTGCGGGTTTTTGTGTTTACACGTGTGAAACAAATTCCGATCTGTGTCAGATGTGAGCGAAAGATCGGATTTTTTGTGCCAGTGTAAACGCAGCCTGAGATTGTCTGGTCCCATCTATATCTAGGACTGCTTTTACGTTTACCACTTCTACAAGGACTGCTATGTTTTATTTACCTGAGTTACTGCCCTTTTCTCCCTTCATCAGTGTTCTTAACTCCCTGGATCCCCGTTTTCTCCAGATCGTCTTGTTACTACCTGCAAATATAAGAGACATTGTTCATACCCAGTGCAACAGTGATTTAATGGTGTGTGTGGTGATAATTTCCTTTCTGGACTGCCTTCATCATTCTTCCTCTGCTCTGGTTGTTGTTGTATATATTCCTCAATCACTATTATTCACCTGCTTCCTGGAGGCTGGTGCAAGACAGGGACACAGGAAGGCCTCCAGGGAGAATCAGGGAACTCCAGGAGCCATGGTGGAGCAGGGGACTCAAGGGGCCATGGCGGATCCTCCATGACCATAGCCGGCTCAGCCACCACGGGCATATGGAATTTTGGGGGGCGCTCTGGAGGAGTGGGCACGTGAGGGCGCTCTGGAGGGCACGCCATGTCCAAGAGCGCTGAGTCAGCGGCGGCCGGCGGGCTTGACGGCGAGCTGGTTCTGGATCTGGGCTGGACACTCTCCAGACACCGGAGGATGCCTTCCCTCCAGCTCAGTCTTGTGGTGTCTGGGAGGTCCACGGGCGATAGTAATTGGCCCCGATCCAGAACAGAGAGTTGAGGGTCGCGTTGTCTAACGCCGTACTCGCAGCGATTCCACGGAACTCCCACGCATACTCCACAAACGGGAAATCTCTGCAGGCTAAGGTGGTGAAACAAGCTGAGATTTCCATGAACGTGGTGGAAAAACTGGGAAAACAAAAAACGTTCAAAACGGAAATAAAACGGGGAGAAGGAGCGCCGTTTACTTTTTTGTTGGGTCTGGAATTCTATCACGGTTCGCTACTGTGAGGAGCACGGAACGAGGAGACGCAGAGTCGAATTCAAACTTATTGACTTTAATAATATCCAGGGAAACACACTTAGCAAGAGTTGACATCAACAATTCCAGACCAGGGAGAACAGAACGGGCTAGAACTCAAATAGGGCAGATAACGAGGGGCAGACAGGTGAGGAGGATAACTAATAACTAGGAACACCTGGAACAAATGGAACTAAATGGGGACAGGAACCAGAAGGACCAAATACGGGCATAAAGAAACAGGAGGCCAGGAACACAGGGAAAACAATACAAAAACCGACCATAAACGTGACAGTCATCTGGTGACTGTGTCAGTTCAATTTTTTTCAATTCAAATTGCTTTATTGGCATGACAAAAATAAATTTTGTATTGCCAAAGCATTAAGACAACAAAGAGAATGGTTTAACATCTGATCATTGATTTATATATTATAACTAATATGTAATATATAACTAATATGGAAATGTCATATATACCCATAGATACATATAGGATAAATAAATAAATAAAATAAAAAATAGTAATGATAACGATTTTCCTGTAGCAACTGCTGGACTGTGAATAGGAACATTATGTACATGAGTAACAGTATTTCAGTTTTGGCCTGTGAGAGTGTGTCTATTGGCTGTGTGTTTCTGGATTGTGTTTGTCCCTCAGGTGATGGCACGATGCTAAGAATTTTGCAGTAATATTTATACATTTGGCTTTTTTTTTTTTTTTAGCCCAAGTTTTTCGGTTGGGCTACAAATGTTAAATTGGGGAAATATTTGATTCATTTTGGGGTAATAGTGGTCTCTAATGGTTTGGTATTTGGGGCATTCTGTGATTCCTCACAGTGCAGCTCTGTTTCGATCTGAGTCTCTCCTCACGGGAGAACCAGGTTTGTCTGCGCCGGCCCGTCTCTACAGACAGACTGTGCTCGCTGAGTCTGTACATCATCAGTGTTTTCCTGAGTTTCACATCAGTCACTGTGATCAGGTAGCTTGCCATGGTGTACTCTCGATTTAGTGTCGAATAACATTCTAATTTGTGCTGGTTTTTAATGGTGTTTGTCCAATGGGTGATGTACTTGTGTTTCTCTGTGTTGATGATCTGTGTGGGCCGAATGGTTGAGAGTGAGTGTGAGTTCTGAGGCTGGCTGATCTCTGTCAGTCTCAGCACCAGCTGAAGGAGGGGACTCTTCGTGAGGCTCAGCTCTTGCTGTTTCAGGGCTTTATAATGGTATGTGCTGGGGTCACTTGTCTTTAGGTGTTTCCAGAATTTGATGGCTCTTTTTTGAATGTTTAGAAGGAGAGGGTATTGGCCTAATTCTGCCCTGCATCCATTATTTGGTGTTTTTCTTTGGACTTTGAGTATTCTTTTACAGAAATCTAAATGCATTTTTTCAGGTGGATGTTTTTGCCAGTTTAAAAAAATTTTTTTATAGGTGGACCCAAGATTTCACTGGCATATAGTATGATTGCATCAATTACTGATTTGAAAAGTTTGAGCCAGATTTGGATTGGGATGTCGATTTTAATTGATCTTTTGATGGCATAGAAAGCCCTTTGAGCTTTCTCTTTGAGCTCATTCACAGCCAAAGTAAAGTTACCTGTTGGAGTAATTTTTAGGCCGAGGTAAGTGTATGTTTTTGTGGTTTCAATGGTTCTGTGTGATAGTGTGAATGTGTGTGTTAGTCCCTGAGATCTGGAGCGTTTCTGGAAGATCATGACTTTAGTTTTTTGGAGGTTGACTGTCAGGGCCCAGGTCTGACAGTAATCCTCCAGCAGATTCAGGCTGTCCTGAAGCCCTTCTTTAGTGGGCAACAGGAGAACCAGTTTGTCTGCGTAAAGAAGACACCTCTGCAAACAAGCCTGCAATGGCCCTTTACGGGCCCACTTAGGGCTGCCAGCACAGGGCCTCTGAGAATTTGCTCATTGGCAAAACGTTGGCCCCTTAGCACTGGCCCTGCACGGGCAGCCCTCACTTAGCCTCCAGGAAGCCTTAGCGCTGTTTTATTGAAAATAATAAAGTTTGAAGTCACCGTTATGGAGGTAAGTGCTAATCCATTTTATGAATGTCAATGGAGGAGAGGCTTCACTACGAGATCCAACATCGACTATGGAGGTATGGCATATGGGTTAGCAGCGCCATCTGTTTTAAAGAAATTGGAAGTTATTCAAGCTAAGGCTTTAAGAATTTGTAGTGGGGCAATGAGAACAACACCAATCAATGCACTTTTAGTTGAAATGGAGGAGACTACTTTAGAGATAAGGAGGATTAAGCTGTCTCTGAACTATTGGTCTAAGCTCCGAAGTTTTAATTGCAAAAATCCGGCCAGAAGTTTATTAGAGGAACACTGGGACTAAGCTGCCGCAAATCACACAAGAAGAAGAAGAAGAAGGCTTCACTACGATGAATAAACAGCTTTTTAGAGGAAACAGCGTATCATTTAATCAGACAGCCTATCAGCTAATCTCCAACATATTTTACACTAAGCAATACTTTTGGATTGAACTATATTTAGAGTTTACACAGAAAAAAATGGCGTTTTATAAGAGAAGTCACTGACTTTTTGCGACAGGTGAGATTCAGCTTACGGCACTTCTCATTCATTCCTATGGTATCCGTAAACAGCGACTGAGTGTCGCACAACTCTGGCTGAAATTCAATGACGGCAAGTCTGTAATGTGATTGGTTATTAAGGCACACGTGATTCAAGTTGACCGTTACGCTTTCTCCAACAGTAAGTATTACAGACTCTCTCATCTCCCTATAGAAAGACAATCTCTGCCTGAAGTATCGATATATCGATACTGATGCGAGTATCGAAAGTATCGATACTCAAATAAAGAAATATCGATAATACGGTGTTTTATTTACCAGTGATTTTGTTTATTTAACAAAAAATGAATGCGTACAATATGCATTGAATCAGACGAATAACCTATGTTAGCGAATAATTGTGTAGGATATAACTATTTTCCTGCTCATCTGAAGACAGAACCAATCAATCACAGAGAGCATTCCCCTACTGCTGACAGTGCATTCACACGGGGCTGCGTTTCCCAAAAGTATCATAAGAAACCATTGATGCTTTTGAGAACGGCAGAACAATGCTTGTCAGAGGACAGACAAAACATATGTTTGAGTTATTTCACAATAAATATACTGAAATTGTAGCCAACATAGTTTGTGAAATTACATTTATTTACATTGAACATTAAAAGTTAATATAGACCAATTACGAGTAGACGTCACAGTTACGTCACTTGCAGCTGCTTTTTTTTGTTCTTCTATTCCATGGCTCCATAGACTGCCGCTTGAAAACCGTTATTTTCTGCCTCCAGATAGGCTCCGCACACAAAAACCGTCACCCCTGTTTCGGATCTGTAAGACTATCCCACGCTCTAACGTCAATTTCGTTGAATAACAGTGCTTATCGCTGGGTGACAAGCTCTTGTAATATGCGGAGAACATTTTGAAAATGACATCTAATCAATATAATTTATAATCTTTTTAAACCTAACTATTTTGTACAGTATCCGTGAAATTCTCTAGCTGTAAAGGCTATCTCTCCCGGGTTTTCTGCAACCATGATGCGCGCGCATCCTGAATGTTTACAAACCTATGATTGGTCTATTGATCATGTTCTATTCTGTAATGTTAGTATAAATCATACACTGTCAGAATAAAAGGTTGCATTTCATGCGTGCAACAGCCTGTCACTGGCAGTCCCTTATGAAAATGAACCATGGTTTTACAAAAGTGACCGTAGTTCAACTATAGAATTTGTAGATTTCCATGGTTACCGCTACAGTAAACATATTTTAACCGCATGTAAACAAAAAAATAACCTAATAAGTTGCAATTAAGGCATATTGAATGTTAAAATGCGTTTCAAATATAAAGTTAAGTGGATACCATTACCTATTTTACTCTTAGTAATGTAATAATTTAATATATTTCATAATTTAAAAGTTCAGTTTAGAAGTATCATATCGATATCGACGATACTGGTCTTTAAAAGTATCGGTATCGTATCGAAAACAAAATGTGGTATCGCCCATCTCTACCGGAAATGTTTCTAGTGTCCATATTTCTATTCCCAACCACCAGAGGACGCCAATGACTGAGAGCCGATCCATTGACCTAAAATGACCCGATGTGTAGTGCATCAGTCAGACAGGATCAGGGTTTTGCATTCATCTGTAATTTAGTAAGAATGTAAACTGTGATGTTTATGTTAAACTAATACATGATAAGCCATATATAGACATGATGGGCGTATCTACTGCGCACTGGCGAGCAGGTAATTTACACAACACATAATATATGGCAATAATGATGTAGGAAATAATAAACTTGAACATATATTAATATATAGATTCGAATACAATAATAATACAATACTATTGCATTCAAATTGCTCTGTGCGACAGTAGTAAACTCTTTAACGTAAATACTGTTAAAGCACATTAAGTTACTGTAATACAACAACAATACTTCTAACACATTATATTTCTAATACATCTTAACATACTTATAAAATCTAAACATTACCGCACAGCTCCAGATATACAGTTGGAAGTATATCCATCGCTACTGTAATGAAAATGAACATAACCCCGGCCTTTAAAAAATGCACTTGAGACTCCCGCTCTTTGTTGCGTTCCATTTTCGAACGTTTGTACATCGCGATGATGTCACACGGCAGTCCTTTACAAGCGCGCACTCGCAGACTCGCTTCACCGTCAGTGAGAATCTGAGAGTTTGTGAAGACTGTCCCCAGAGCGAGTTTGCAACGTACACTGTAAGAAATGAACCTGTGCAGTTGTTGCTTTAAAGAGATATTTCTATCTGATATTATATATAATTCTAGTTTTGTTGTTGTAAACTAGTTCAATCAAGATTATGTAACATAAAACAAGACAACATCATTTTGACTTAAATCCATTACATTGCCCAGCATACAACCTCCAATAAAGCTCAGAACAAACACATTCAAAACGAGCACACCTGCTTCATGCTGATTAGTGAGTGTTGGTTCAATGAGAAATTATGATTTGAAGTTATTATATATTTTAAGTTGCAGCAAAGTGAAAATCACAATTGACAGCGCTACTCTTCAGCACAATGGTAACCACTGTAAAAAAATATATAAAAATAGTTAAAACAATAAATAAAATTTCGCATGACTGCCAGCAACACTACCAGATCTCTCTCTCGTACTTATTATAATCCAGTCTGACTTTATTTCTTTCATACTAAACTTCTTATTGAGAATTAACTGAGGTTTAGATGTTGATGTTTTATTGACAATAATAAAGTTTGAAGTCTGATTTGAAGTCTGTTTGTGGAGATAAGCGTTTGCTTTAACTGGGCCCTTGATGCTTGAATATTTAACATCAGTTTTTCTCTGACTGCTGCAACTGCGTGTTTCTAAAGCACAATTGTTATAGCAACAGTTGTGAGAGAAACTCTGATCAAATAATCGTGATTACTTATTGATGATGATTCAGTCATCGTGTAGTGGTCAGATTCACAGATCATATCAGGAGTCAGATGTCTGAGAACGTTAACTGTTAGTCTTGTGATGTTATGACAGTCAGATACTGTGATTTTTCTTTTTCATTATATAGGAAGTGTTTTGAGCTGTCTTTCTGACTCACACAAAGATCAAGCATCAGCGCATGAATCAAAACCTTTTTTGTGACTTTAGTAGCTTGTTTTGTGATGTTCAGAGTTGATCTGTTTATCTGAATAATGTGTTGGCTGTCACCATTGTTGAAGTTCATACGCAGATTTAGAATGTCTGTGAGTATACGTGATCCAGTCCCAAAAATTTCTGCGTAATGATTAAAAAAAAAAAATTCTAAATAGGACATCATTTCAAAATGTGAAACTAGCACACTCCAGATGAGAATTGTGATTACTACTTGATGATAGAATCCTCATCTCACTAGGTTTTCTTTTGCGCTTTCAGCTGCAACAACAGTGTTTTAGAAACACACAGTTTCAATAACTAGAGAAAAACTAAAGTTAAAAAGTCATGGATCAAGACCCCAACTAAAGCAAACACTTATCCCCACAACGGTGACTTCAAACTTTATTATTGTCTATAAAACATCAACATCTTAGTAGCTTGTTTTGTGATGTTCAGAGTTGATCTGTTTATCTGAATAATGTGTTGGCTGTCACCATTGTTGAAGTTCATACGCAGATTTATAATGTCTGTGAGTATACGTGATCCAGTCCCAAAAATTTCTGCGTAATGATTAAAAAGAAAAAATTCTAAATAGGACATCATTTCAAAACGTGAAACTAGCACACTCCAGATGAGAATTGTGATTACTACTTGATGATAGAATCCTCATCTCACTAGGTTTTCTTTTGCGCTTTCAGCTGCAACAACAGTGTTTTAGAAACACACAGTTTCAATAACTAGAGAAAAACTAAAGTTAAAAAGTCATGGATCAAGACCCCAACTAAAGCAAACACTTATCCCCACAACGGTGACTTCAAACTTTATTATTGTCTATAAAACATCAACATCTAAACCTCTGTTAATTCTTAACAAGAAGTTTTCTATGAAAGAAATGAAGTCAGACTGGTTTGTAATAAGTGAAGATGCTGAGATCTAGAGAGATCTGTTAGTGTTTCATGTTCTGTAGGGATTTAAAGGGTTTCTGTTGTCTTGAGTTTTGTGGGTCACCGTTGTGCTGAAGAGTAGAGTGTGTGCTTCAGTCCAGGAGAAGCCCAAGATACATTGATGTTATGCTGCATGTTGCTTTATTTAAAAGCAGTCTCGTTCTATTTTTTTGTTTTGTTTTTTTGAATGTCATGAAAACACTGTAATGGATTTTTTCTTTTGCTGTTTAAGCAAATGGGAATGCAAAAAATAAATGTGTGGTACTCTCCCATTCACTGCTATTGAAGTTTACCCAAAGTTAACTCAATCAGTGCGATCGGAAGTTTCACGTGCAGATTTCTCTCATGTTCACCATGCAGAAAGGTGCCTGGTTTGAGAGTGATTTCTGTATGAGCTGTGCTTTATACATCAGCTATTTACAACGGACAATGGACTTATTTTTTTGTTGTGAAATTTCACTAAAATGTATATAATGTGACAGCATCTTTATAATATTAATTTGTTTCAGATGTGTTTGTTTTTACTCAGTTCAACAAAAAACTTATGCTGTACAAAAAATAAATACATAAACAAAAAAACAAAAAAAACAACCCTTAAAACTTAATTCACTTAATTTTTATACTGTTTTTACAAATGAAAGAAAGTTTTGTCAGATCGAACTCACTTCTGGGTGAGAATACTTCTAATGTGTAATACACACACACACACACACACACACACACACACTTGTCTGGTCAGCTATCCTTGTGGGGACTCTCCATAGGCGTAATGGTTTTTCTAGTGTACACACCGTATATTCTCACACACACAAAAACACACACACACACACACACACACACATTATAAGACAGTTTTATGTTTAAAACTTTATGGTTATTTATATACTTTAGTGTACTGTAGGCAATTTTAGATTTCCAAACATTCTTTTTGCAAATAATGTAATAATTTTGATTGGACAAGAAGTCCTATAACAGACGGTAAGGCCCACAGAGATCTGTTCACATCTCACCATGATTGATTCAGTCAGAAGCAACTGAGACTACAGCTGAAATCCAAAGAAGAACGGTGGCATCTTCTCCAAGATGATTGGAAAATAAACACAAAGTGTAGAAAGTGAGGATGTTTTCCAAAATAACAGCATGAATGGTTTTTATTTATCAAATTTTATTAACCAAATTCAATTCAATTCAATTTAATTCAAGTTTATTTGTACAGCGCTTTTCACCATACAAATCATTGCAAAGCAACTTTACAGCAAAT